CACACACACACACACACACACACACACACACACACACACACACACACACACGTCACTCTGCTCTGTGAACTGACCTGCTCTTCAAACGAGTTGATGTGCCAGCGGTACAGTCTGAGAATGTCCAAGAGGCATCCAGCATCAAGAACATCTTCATCTCCAGGCTCATCACTGGACAGAGCTGCCAAGGTACAAACCGTGAGGCAAAAAAACCACAAACACAAACACAGCAGCTTCTTTACACTCGACGGACCCACAGGTCAAGTCTACGCACCTCGTAGGAGCTGAAGCAGTGTGGTGGACAGCTGGTTGTCCTTACAGGACTGGATTGTGGGCAGACAGGAAAACTTCTCCAACCATCTGATGAAGGACGGACACGCTGCCAAGCCCTGGAGCAAGGAGTTCAAGAAACAGGTGTTGCCCAGATTTAGCAGACCTGGAACCATCCCTGTGAAGAAAGAAACATCCAAGCTGATAAGGAGGCTGTGCAATCTAAGTGACTACTGAAGAAGAAGACGGCATACTGGTCATGAAATTATAATRTCATGAAAAAGTTGATTTATTTCAGTAATTCCATTCAGAAAGTGAAACTTACAGAAAAGCATGTTCGCTTTTAGAGCTGAAGGCCACTATCAGAGCAACATGAGCTCTTATAACACCTGAGCAGTGCCACGCCACATTGCTGCAGTAATCCAGGCAAAATGAACCCAAACTACGTATCGAGTGCTGTACATGCTCATACTTTTCACGTTCATACTTTTCAGTTGGCCAGCATTTTTAAAAATCCTTTTTTGTAATGGTCTTACATAATATTCAAATTTTCTGAGATACTGAATTTGGGATTTTCATTAGTTGTCATTTATAACCATCAAAATTAAAAGAAATAACCTTTAAAATGTAACAGTCTGTGTGTAATAAATTAATATAATATACAAGTTTCACATTTTGAATGGAATTATTGAAATAAATCAACTTTTTAGGTTATTCAAATTTTATAACCAGCACCTGCATATCGTAATGAGTAACCATCAGAGGAGTTGTTTTTTACATAGAGGAGCAGCCAAGCAAGMTTTCCAAAGACCAATTAATGTCACTAATAAGTTTAGGAGGAGACATTTAAATGTAGGGCAGGAGCAAACCATCACGCAAAGAGAAGGAAGATACCGTTTAACTTTAAAACAAATAAAGTTAGGTCCTATTTAAACATTAGGCCTATTCTTACCTCTCTTCCGCTTCTTCCTCTCTGTAATTGGGCCCCACATGACATAAACTCCTGCTGCAATCGCCGCTGCTATCCCTCCGATCACTCCCCAGTTTTTGATCATCTTGTTCCTGAGAGACAAATAGAAATCAAATAAGTTAATAAAGAAATCAATAGAGACAGAAAGGTGAAGAGCAAGGTGGAACAAGAGAAAAATCTGTACGGTTCAGTCTGAATCGTTATAAAGAATTGGAAAAAAGGGACTGAGTCATACTTTAAATGGTGTGATTTTGATGTTAAACCATTAAACCTAATTGAAGTTAAACATATGAAGCAATTGCTTCTTATATAAAATAATTTGCSCAGCAATAAATACATCTTAGCTTGTGTTTTAGTACAAGTCTTGCAGCAGATGTAGTGATGAGGATCCTGGCTTGTTTTATTCTTATCCTTATTTAGTGAAGTCTGTWGTCTTGAGTAAAGCACGCTGTGACCGACTAAACTATCAACCGAGTTAATCTGGAACTAAACCAACACAAGACGCGACCTAATCACATCCAACGCAGTTTCACACACACGTCTTTTAGTTCAGAGTCTTATCTGACTTGTGTGTAAATCGCCATGCTAACTTTAGCCTAGGCTAACTTACCAGCTACGCGGAGGTCAGGCTGCCCAGCGAAAAATGTATCAGCTTCACAAATGAAAAAACATTTAAGTTGCTGTCTTGGAGAAAATAAAGTACACGTGTCTTTAATATTACCACTGAGGCTGGTTTTTAGGTTCAGAAACATGAAGCAGGGACTGCGTGTGTTCGCTGTTCCTGTGCTCATGGTGTACCGAGGTGTAAATAAAGACAATAAGCAGAAGCTTCCGCCGCTCTTCCTGCGCACCGAACACGACGATAAACTGCACTTGTTGTTTGACCACATGGAGAGGGATTTTACCTGACTGTAGGTCCTGTGCCAAGAAACTCTCCAACAAGCTTATCGGAGCTGTCTGGTCTGCACCACAACATCCTGTTGACTCTCTGTGGAACTTCGGTTTTAGGGAGCGTGTTTCCACACGGACCTGCTTACGAGGGCACTCAACAGGAACTCAAAATTTTGGTAACTTTCATGCATCATTTTTTTTTAAATTGCAAATACATTTGTACAACAAATACAAGCCATCATATGAGTTTCTCCTTTGATGTGAATAAAAACAATTCTATAGTTTCTTGTGTTGTGCACACTTTATAAATTTATTTTTTAAAGGCTACAGCAACAGCAACAAAACTCTGTGTTTGGTGTCTATCCACTGGGCTGTTTCTTAAAATCAGTTGTATTAAATGCAATATTTTGTTCTAAATAAATCTTTAAAATCAAATTAATTTGGTTTAAATNAATCAGTTGTATTAAATGCAATATTTTGTTCTAAATAAATCTTTAAAATCAAATTAATTTGGTTTAAATATAATTCTTAAACGTCATCAATGAAGTTCGACRTATTTAATTTTCTTCTCTTTTAACAATTTTGTACTTTGTTTTTATTTGATGTATTGTTCCAGTACTTTAATTCCTTTTTGTATAGTTGCAACTCTCACACACAATTACTGCTAAATCTGGTTACATGCAGATAATTCAGAAGATTATTATACAGAGCTGTCACATGCATCATCTGTTGCTCTCTTTAGGTCTTTATTTACACAGAAAAACTGCTGTCAAACACATTTTTAACGCCCATGCCTCCGGCTGCTCATTCCAATCCCTTTCTCTCCAACGCTCTTTTGCGTGTTGATCATAGCGGTCTCTGATTGGCTGTCTCGAGGATTGGCAGCCTCTGATTGGCTGTCTTGAGAATTTCTTTACCTCTGATTGGCTGTCGCTCAACTGCGGCATCTCATTGGCTGTCGGCGGCCACCCAGACGCACCGAGTCCGCTGTCCTCGGTGCTGAAATCGCTGCACGTCGCAATAATGTAACACCGGCGATGAGGCCAAACGGAGCAGCAGCTAAGAAAACACCAAAATGGACGATGACCTGTTTCAACTGAGACAACTTCCGTGAGTAGACCCCAGTCCGCATTTTGATGCACATTTAATTTTAAATCCACCATTTCCTCCGCCAACATGTTTGTCCGACGCGTCGCCCTCTGACTGCTTGGTGTTTGGTTGATTAGCTGGTTTAAACCTCAGACAACATGACAGTCATCAAGCAGTGATTCATCTAGATGTACATTAACAAGGTGTTGAGCTGCATTAAATAAACTCACAGGCATCGTGAGGTCTGATGCTGTCTGTTTACAGTCGCAATCATGTCACCTAGGCTGGGATTGTTTAATAAGCAGGTTTGCAGTGAATCTGATTAAGTAAGTTATTTGTCCTAACTTGTTTGTTGTGTTTACTGCCTCGATTCAGTCCATTATAGATTTATGTAAAACCTTGCTGCACATAAATTAATTAAGCCTGAATGCTCTAAGTGGATGCATTTTATAAACACAGTGAAACAAAGGGAGTTAGAAAACTACAAGAGATTATGGCATTGAAAATTAATACTTCTTAACTCCTATAAATCCATCAAACTTGGTAAAAAAAATCTATAAAATAAAGGTATAGACAATTTGGCAAGGAGGTAGAAATTCATATTAATGGATAGATTAATTTTCACCTCTAAAGCAATATAAATACCTTACATGTACAGATGCTTGGCACAGAAAGGAGTCAGTGTTGTATAATTACAGTGATTAATGCATCACTGGCACAGTCCACTTTCTTTGTAAGTGTAACTATCAATTATCTGCATGTGGAAGAAGATTATAGGCTCCCCTCTGTCTGTAGAAAGCATGCAAACATGTTGGCATTGATGCCTCTGCCAAGAGAGCTGTAAAACCTTCTGACATGGTCTTCCACCAAATTTTCATATTCAAAGCCAAAAATAAGCTTACATCACGAAGGCAACAACCTCTGATTCTCATTTGTGCTCTGCTTTTGCCCAACATGGCACCGCTCATCTAAACTCAGAACAAAAACAGAACTCAATCCTGAAATATGTTTTTTTTATCCATCCTATTTTTTGCAGTGTTGTCCGCTTCCGTCACACAGGTGAGAGCGCTCGCTCTGAGGAGGATGCWGAGGACAGAGGGCAGGAGGTCAGGACAGCAAGGAGTGCTGATCTGGAGCCCGTGGCCCTCGCGGAAGAAGCGCCGGTGCCACGAGAGTTCGCCAATCCAACTGACGGTACTGTGYGGTGGAGAGTAAACTGAAGGGACACTTCTCACATTTCCCTCAACRTTATCATGTTTCTCTCTGCTTCAGACACATTCATGGTAGAAGATGCCGTGGAGGCCATAGGCTTTGGGACATTTCAATGGAAACTGTCCATCCTCACTGGTCTGTCCTGGGTAAGAACTGCTCAAACACCACACAAATTCAGCACAAATATAAATGTTTTTTTTATCTCTGCATATAAATATTCTTGTTGTTTCTGGGTTTTCTGTTTGCTCAGATGGCCGACGCTATGGAGATGATGATCCTCAGCATCTTAGCCCCACAGCTCCACTGTGAATGGCGCCTGCCGAGCCTGGAGGTGGCACTGCTCACATCGGTAACAGTTCAAAGAAATATGATTTATTTATATAAAAGGGGACATTGTAATTTAACGAAACACATGAAATTCATAGGTTAAAAAAGCCAGAATTAACCAAAAGGCTGTTCTTAAAGGGATCCCCGATTAGTTGTAACATCACACTTTATAAGATAAACATATACTTTAACTGTAAAATAAAGACTGTAAAAATACTGTAGGATGTTCAGTTTTTATAATTTTTAAACTAAACATTTAAAAATATATTACACGGACGGGGCCATTTTATTTACACGCAAAGCATTCTGGGTAAATGATGACATCAACTAGGTCATCAGCATGAGGCTTCTAGGGAACTATATCCACCCTGAAGGTTAATCTTGGACAATATCTGATGATCGACTCTTAAATGAAACCAGAGAGCGTTGACAGAGAGGAGAAGGTAGAAATGACTCAGCCTGTAACTGAAAATATGGATGGAGGACAACAGAGCTGCTTCATGGAAGAAGAACCTCAGCTTAGGCTGTTAGCTTTAGCATTAGCCCCAACACTATTACCATATATATGTATTAGCTCACCGCTACACATTCTCCTCTCGTCACTGACGTCCTCCATCCACATGACAGAGAGGGGAACACAAAAATGACTCAGCCTGCAACGGAAAATAAGGATGGAAGACCTCAGTGCAGCTTGGTTGTCACGCTGGCGCCGAGCTAATACATATAAGGCAATATAGCATGAGGGCTAGCGCGCAGGCTAACAGGTTAAGCTGAGGTTCTTCTTCCATGAAGCAGCTCTGTTGTCCTCCATCCAAATTTTCAGTTCCAGGCTGAGTCATTCCTACCTTCTCCTCTCTGTCAACGCTCTCTGGTTTCATTTAAAAGAGACAATCATCAGATATTGTCCAAGATTAACCTTCAGGGTGGATATAGCTCGCTAGCAGCTTCGCACCGATGACCTAGTTGATGTCATCATTTACCCAGAATGCTTTGCGTGTAAATAAAATGGCTCCATCCGTGTTAAAATATATTTTAAAAAATTTTACAAAACTAAACAGCCTACAGTATTTTTACAGTCTTTATTTCACCATTAAAATAAATGTTTATCAAATAAAGTTTAATGTTACAATTAATCGTGGATCCCTTTAATATTTAGTCTCCTGGCCATATTTAAAAAGCAATGAAATACAACATATAAACAGCACAATAAGAACAAGAAATTGGATTAAACAAATCCTAACACATTAAAAAAGAAAAAAGAAACATTGCTAAAATAGAAACAATACAAACCATTATGAGTGACTAGTAAACATATGCCACACCATTTGATTAATAAATTCTGAGGGTATGAAAGAAACATTTAAATAAGAGTTTAACATTATTGCAGAGGGAGGAAATGATATATCGTTGCATAAATGTGATAAAATCAGTGTTAATATGAACATTTCACATTTAAGTGGTTCCAAAAAAAACAAAATGTCTCCTTTAGTTTGATAATATTGTATAACTATAGGTTGGTGCACCCTGGAAACTAAATACGGTGGCATGAATCCTGTCTTTTCCTCTGTGACTCAGGCAGTATTTATCGGGATGATGATCAGCTCTTCTCTCTGGGGAAACATATCTGACAAGTACGGCAGAAAGACAGTGAGTTCTGCTGAAAATGTTATAGTTATCTTACTTTTCATTCTTTGCAGCAATCTGGGTGTCAAAACCTTAGTTGTGAGTTTCTAAATGTACGATTTTGATAAGTATTGGGCAGGGGTGCTGTGTTTGGGATGTTTSCCGAGATTTGTGTACAGGAGATAAATGTGTTGTTTCTGATCGTCCACACTAACAGGGTCTGACRATGAGTGTGCTGTGGACCATTTTCTACGGCGTCATGAGTGCGTTTGCTCCCATTTACGGATGGATCTTGGTCCTTCGTGCGTTGGTGGGCTTCGGCATTGGAGGGGCGCCACAGTCGTGAGTACTCCTCGTTAATCACTCTTAAAAAACATATTTAATGAGCTGAGCTGGGATTAACAACAAAGTGTCCTGTCCTGTCAGGGTGACCCTGTATGCTGAGTTTCTTCCAATGAGGTCCAGAGCCACGTGTATCCTGCTTATTGAGGTGCAAAGTAGCCCCCTATACTACTTGATGTTGACCACAAACCCYTTTTTATTTTAGTTTTTGCATTTTAAAGCTCGTGTTTGCTGGCRTTGCAGATCTTTTGGGCCCTCGGCACGGTTTTCGAGGTCCTTCTAGCGATCCTGGTGATGCCCACGTTAGGCTGGCGCTGGCTGCTCGGCCTTTCCACCATTCCTCTCTTCATCTTTGCTTTTCTGTGTTACGTAAGTCACTGATCCCCGAGTGGTTGTGCAGCGCTGCAGCGGTGTGAACATGACATGCTGTTTTTACACAGTGGCTGCCGGAGAGCGCTCGGTATGACGTGCTGACGGGGAACCAGGAGAAGGCTCTGGACACTCTGAAACGCATCGCCACGGAGAAYGGAGCCCCCATGCCTCTGGGGAAACTCATCGCTGCCAGACAGGTACGACGCACACACTCTGGATTAAACACACGCATATATCACAGTCATTTAAGGACTCCCATTTGTGTTTTCTGTCTGTTTAAATTAGGAAGACCGTGGGAAGATTCAGGATTTATTTTCATCGCACTTCCGCTGCACCACAGTTCTGCTGTGGTTTATCTGGTAAATGYCTGAATCATCCCCGCCCTCTAACCTTCCCCGGTGTCTCCAAGCATTTGTAGTTCATGTTTTATGAAAAYCTTCTTGCTCAGCGTGTTTTTAGCATGATTTCAAGTTGCATCTGTCAGCGCAGGTTTGCGAACGCCTTCTCCTACTATGGACTGGTGCTGCTCACCACAGAGTTGTTTCAGGAGGGAGGTGCATGTAGAAGTGAGTCACACACACACACACACACACACACACACACACACACACAC